TTTATGGACTGGTGAAAGCATCTCGGAGTTGGAATGTACGTTTTGATAGTGTGATCAAAGCATATGGTTTTATACAGTCTTTTGGAGAAGCCTGTATTTACAAGAAAGTGACTGGGAGCTCTGTAGCATTTCTAATATTATATGTGGATTACATATTGTTGATTAGAAATAATACAGAATTTCTGGATAGCATAAAAGGATACTTGAATAAGAATTTTTCAATGAAAGACCTCAGTGAAGCTACTTACATATTGGGCATCAAGATCTATAAAGATAGATGGAGACGCTTGATAAGACTTTCGATGAGTACATACCTTGATAAGATTTTGAAGGAGTTCAAAATGGAACAATCAAAGAAGGAGTTCTTGCCTGAGTTGTAAGGTCTGAAGTTGAGTAAAGACTCAAAACCCAACCATGATAGAAAATAGAAAATAGAAAGAGAATGAAAAGTCATTCCCTGTGCCTCAGTCATAGATTCTATAAAGTATGCTATGTTGTATACCAGACCTATGCACCATGAGTTTGGCAAGAGGATACAATGGTGATCCAGCAATGGATCACTGGACAATGGTCAAAATTATTCTTAGTGGAATAAGGACATGTTTCTTGGTTATGGAGGTGACAAAAAGTTCGTCGTAAAGGGTTACGACGATGCAAGCTTTGACACTGATCCGGATGACTCTAAGTCTCAATCTGGATACATATTGAAAGTGGGAGCGATTAGCTAGAGTACCTCCGTGCAGAGCATTGTAGACATAGAAAAATTGCAAAATACATACTTCTCTGAATGTGGCAGACCTGTTGACTAAACTTCTCTCACAAAGTAAAACATGATCACTCTTTGGGTGTTAATCACATAGCGATGTGAACTAGATTATTGACTCTAGTAAAACTTTGGGTATTAGTCGCATGGAGATGTGAACTAATCACATAAAGATGTGAACTATTGGTGTTAAATCACATGACGATGTGAACTAGATTATTTACTCCAGTGCAAGTGGGAGACTGGAGGAAATATGCCCTAGAGGCAATAATAAAGTTGTTATTTATATTTCCTTATATCATGATAAATTTTTATTATTCTTGCTAGAATGTATTAACCGGAAACTTAGTACATGTGTGAATACATAGACAAAAACAGAATGTCCCTAGTATGCCTCTACTTGACTAGCTCATTAATCAAAGATGGTAAGTTTCCTGACCATAGACATGTGTTGTCATTTGATGAACGTGATCACATCATTAGGAGAATGATGTGATGGACAAGACCCATCCGTTAGCTTAGCATTATGATCGTATAGTTTTATTGCTATTGCTTTCTTCATGACTTATACATGTTCATCTGACTATGAGATTATGCAACTCCTGAATACCGAAGGAACACCTTGTGTGCTATCAAATGTCACAACGTAACTGGGTGATTATAAAGATGCTCTACAGGTGTCTCCGATGGTGTTTGTTGAGTTGGCATAGATCGAGATTAGGATTTGTCACTCCGTGTATCGGAGAGGTATCTCTGGGCCCTCTCGGTAATGCACATCACTATAAGCCTTGCAAGCAATGTGACTAATGAGTTAGTCACGGGATGATGCATTACGGAACGAGTAAAGAGACTTGCCGATAACAAGATTGAACTAGGTATGATGATACCAACGATCGAATCTCGGGCAAGTAACATACCGATGACAAAGGGAACAATGTATGTTGTTATGCGGTTTGACCGATAAAGATCTTCGTAGAATATGTAGGAACCAATATGAGCATCCAGGTTCCGCTACTGGTTATTGACCGGAGATATGTCTCGGTCATGTCTACATAGTTCTCGAACCCGTAGGGTCCGCACGCTTAACGTTCGATGACGATTTGTATTATGAGTTATGTGATTTGATGACCGAAGTTTGTTCGGAGTACCGGATGAGATCACGGACATGACGAGGAGTCTCGAAATGGTCGAGAGGTAAAGATTCATATATTGAAAGGCTATATTCGGACATCGAAAAGGTTCTGAGTGATTCGGGTATTTTTCGAAGTACCGGAGAGTTACGGGAATTCACCGGGAGAAGTAATGGGCCTTATTGGGCCATACGGGAAAAGAGGAGACAGGCCAAGGGGGGGTGGCGCCCCCCCCCATAGGGTCCAAATTGGACTAGAGGAAGGGGCGGCACCCCCTTGCCTTTTCCTACTCCCTCTCTCTTTCCCTTTTTCCTTCTCTCCTACTCCACATATACTATTGGCGCGCCCCTAGGGGCGCGGCCTCTCTCCCTCCCTCCTTTATATATGTGGGCAGGGGCACCCCAAAGGCGCACCAAGTCTTCTTTCAGCCGTGTGCGGTGCCCCCCTCCACAGTTACACACCTCGGTCATAACGTCGTAGTGCTTTGGCGAAGCCCTGCGCCGGTAACTTCATCATCACCGTCGCCACACCGTCGTGTTGACGGAACTCTCCCTCGTCCTCAACTGGATCAAGAGATCGAGGGACGTCATCGAGCTGAACGTGTGCTGAACGCAGAGGTGCCGTACGTTTGGTGCTTGGATCGGTTGGATTGCGAAGACGTTCGACTACATCAACCGCGTTACTAAACGCTTCCGCTTTCGGTCTACGAGGATACGTGGTCACACTCTCCACGCTCGTTGCTATGCATCTCCTAGATAGATCTTGCGTGATCGTAGGTAATTTTTTTGAAATATTGCGTTCCCCAACAGGCAGGGCACTGCCTCTGTTATAATGTTGGTGGTCTGGTGTATCTTGACGCATCAGAACACAGTCATCTTCAACTATGTGTAGCTGACCTTTGCTTGCCTCTGTCTGACGTGATCAAGTCGAAAGCTAGGCAAAGTGTGTTAGTGGGTGTGAAGGGGTTGGCCGCCTTGCTACCGGTGTTGATGGAGCCTACCAGTGCTGATAGAATCTCTAGGTGTTAGGCTAGTTGTAATGGTAGTATCATAGCTAGTATCATGTATGCCAACTACGCAATTTTGATGAGGTATCATACAATTAAATGAAGAAAGAGATGGTTGAGTATCATATCATGATACCGTATCATAATAAATGTTATGCTAGTACCCCCCCCCCCTTCCTAAATATAAGTCTTTTAGACATTTCAAATAGACTACAACATATGGATGTATGTAGACATATTTTAGAGTGTAGATCCACTCATTTTGCTTCGTATGTAGTCACCTATTAAAATCTCTATAAAGACTTATATTTGGGAACGGAGGAGTATGTGTCATGCATGACAATAAATAAAGTACTATATGGTATTAATATATGATACTATGCATTAGGGAGGTAATATCGTACACTAGTATCATATGCATAATACTATGATACTCCCCATTACAACCAGCCTTACCCATCGTCGGTGGGGCTTGTACTAACTCTTTTTCTATCAATACATTGAAACGCAAGTCTTTTCCGTTTTATTGGAAAAAAACACACACACCACATCCATCGGAATGAAACCAAAGGTTCACGGGTAGTTCGATGCCTAAGGAGAAAGAAAGGAAAAGTACACTACATGTCATGGGGGGCCCGAGCCATCAGTGAGATACCACTCTGGAAGAGCTCGGATTCTAACCAAGAAAGGAAAAGTAAACTACATGTCATATAACTTCCCATAAAACAACTCCGCTGGGAATTATAGTGAAAGCAAATTGCATAAGTCACAAAACTAGGATGGCGATGAGCTTTGTTCACGTTGGAACATGCGTTCTTGATCTTGGTCTTGTTAAGAGGAAGCTCGTTGGGTGAGTATGCAAGAGGAAGTTCGAGGCTTGACTGTGCAGGCGCGATGTGAGATGTGGTTGCCCGAGCCGGGGAAGCGATGACTTAGAGGGATGGCCAGGGCTGTGAGGCTTGCACGGCAGCTCTGGGTTGGCGGCTAGGCTGGTGCTGGGGGCGGCTACAGCTCAAGGAGGAATACGAAGTGTGTGAAAAATAGAACACTTGTGCGTGGAATCAACTTACACCAAATTTTGTTTGAGGTGACTAACGTATAGCCTATAAAAAAAGTGGATTATGGCTTCACATGCTCCTCCGTTCGGTCACCAACATCTCTCTAACATTTTGGCATAGAAATGAACTGAGGAACTTTTTGGTGTGTGCACCAAATAATTGGTGGACATCCAAATGGGCAACCAAGCCTGGTCACCGACCCATTTTTCGGACGGTTTGCCCAGGGCTCCGATCCTAACAACCCTTAAGATACAGGTTAGTCAAATATGTTATTAATCAAGTTTTAAGTGCCACACAATTTTGAAGGCATACAAATATTAATTATTAGATATAATTAAGATATAAATGTGCATTGAGAACCAACTAGTGGTTGGATGGGTTGGAGGGTGGCGGCGCGGTATCCCAACCCTGTCAGTGACCAAGCTGCATGTTTGACGCTTTGGTATTTCACTAATGTAAATTATTCTTTCTGTGCGAGATAATTGTCTATCGATGATAATGAGATGCATGTAATGATTTCGTCAATCTTGAAGCTTCGCAACTTCGATCCTATCTTCGGCAGGCGGTGTGAGTGTGTATGGTGCCGTGAGTGTGATGGCGTGTGAGTTTACATTATAACCGGTGTTTCTAGAAAAAAAATTGTATATTGAGTGACTATTTTGACAGAAAATAGTCTTTTCTCTCAATCACTATTCCTATATTAAATAATGTCAATGTGCAATTGTGTGAGCCCCTAGTGCCTTCTAATAAAGGCGATTTTTTACTTCTCCGATCCTAGGGTCCTGGTTGATCCCTGGAAATTCGATGTTGTGTCACATGCACTGCAGGAATCAGACAACTATCAGCCAAAACTGAGGTTACATTCCACATATGTTTATAAGCTCCCTTGTCCCGTGTGGATATCCGATCCCACGCTAGCTCAGTATAAATACAACAGCACCCTCCACGGCTCCACCCCAAACACATAGCTTACCTCTAGGGTTGAAACCAGCAGCACACAGTGGTTTAGACAACACCTAGCCAAGCATCCTTCCTAGCTAGCCATGGATCCATATCACTACGAAAACATCCATGACCCACACGGCTGCAGCTTCCCCATCCACCCGCAGCCGCCTCTCCTCCTCCACCACTACCCGGCCGCCGCGCTCGCGGAGAGCCGGGTCAGCAGGGGCGGTGCCGGACGGCGCCGCCCCGGCGCGAAGCTCTCGACTGACCCCCAGAGCGTTGCGGCGCGGGAGCGCCGGCACCGGATCAGCGACCGCTTCCGCGTGCTCCGCAGCCTCGTGCCCGGCGGCAGCAAGATGGACACCGTCTCCATGCTGGAGCAGGCCATCCACTACGTCAAGTTCCTCAAGGCGCAGGTCAGCCTGCACCAGGCCGCGCTCATACAGCACGAGGAGGGCTGCGGCGGCGTCGTCCATGGCGAGTTCGCCGGCGCCGCTGGCGAGGTGACGGCGATGGAGCTTCCGGCAGCGCAGGCGCTGCAGGAGGTGATGAGCCGCTACTACGCTGCAGCTCATCAGGTGGAAGAGCTTGATCTATGCGCGGGGCAGATGAGCAGTAGTTCTCACGATCTGCCTCCGCTGCCTTCCTGCATCTTGGATGAGGAGTCTGCGGCCGCGTGCTACTCCGGGTGCAGCCTCCAAGCCGAGGAGATCGCTCACGCTCACGGATCTTATTAGCCTAGTTATTTAGCCACTGGCTATTGCATGCAGTAGTACTGATTAAGTGATTATGCAGTTTGCGTACCCAAGTATGTATGTCGGACGCTTAGATCCGTAGCTGCTATCTCTAGTTCTCTACCCAATTAGCCTAATTAGCTCTTGCCGTTATATGGCACTGGCAGCAATTTCCTCTTTGGTGCATGCATGCATGCTTCTGTTGTTCTGTTGGTCGATCAATGTGATTGTGATCACGGACGACAGACTTAGTTTCTTGCCTCCATGTTTACTGCCATTCTTATTCGCCCAATCACAACTTTATCTTCATATTCTGATCCAACTAGTATGTTTGCTTCATATATATTTCGTCCTTCGGTGCTACTTTATCGTGTGCAGCTTTACACTCTTTTTCACTTGCCTTTTTCTAGCTATTTGGGTGTTTAGTGGACATAGGAAGCTGTATGCTGGACACGTCACACACATGATCATTTTGCAGTTGCTGGCTTGAGTGTATTAGGAGGTAGAATGTATGTACAGTCAGGACGACGTGCTGTATAATTCCCATTTATTTCATTTCAACTCCATGGTAGAGTTATGCTTACAGGAAAGCTAATGCCTGGTGTATCGATACCACATGCAGTGATTCAGATGCATACTTTTTTTTAAATAGGATACATAGAACAAAAAATTTATTTCCATTCTGTAATCTTATATATGTTCAAACGCAACTCCACTTGAAAACTAGGAAGAGAACCAGATTGTTAGTGCCGGTTGCTGTTCACATAACCACGGCACAGTTTTAATGGAGAAACTATTTTGCTCGGCAGATCTTCATGCTCAACCCCATCAAGAACGAAAATAGGTCTAACAACCGCGAACATGCATCTCCGTATGATCGCCGCGCGCTTATTGAGAGTTAATTAACAACCAAACATATTGACCATTGCTTAAACAAGAATAGTGTATGAAACTAAGTCCGCAGTGTGCATTTCGTATTCGGTGTTCCCAAACTCAACCGCTTACACTTATTGTTAGTTAACGGTCAATACACCTACATTTGTGTCGACACTTGGCTCTACCCCTCCTCTATTGCGACGGTCTTCCCTAACCTATTCGACATTAGCTAAACGTCAATCGACTGACTTTAGCTAATGGGTCAGTCGATTTGAGATTCTCGGAAAACTCGCCGGCGGAAGGCCGAAGGGGAAGAAGGAGAAGGAAGGGGCTCGCCGGAGGGCTACCCCATTATCCATCTTAGGGTTTAGGGTGAGGGCAGTGGTGGGGCTTCACCGGAGAAAAACTAAACGCTGGCGGGGCTAGAGGGATGACCGGGGGCGGCGGAAGACCTGCGGTGGGGGCGGTCCAGGGAGGGCAGGGCGGCGAGCCGGTGGCGGGGGGCGGGGGCCCATGGGGTGGTTTGCTGAGGAAGAAGAAGGGTTTGTCGTCATAGGATCTTCATCCAACGGTTTGGAATGGTCGACTAACCCAAATGTATAATGTCAGGCGACTTGAAAGTAGCCACGCCCAACCTATTCGCACACTCCACCAAACAATATGTCCGAGTCTATTCTACCTGATGCTTTAGTCTCTAACCTACGAAATCGCCTAACCACTGCTGCCTCGCAAGAATTGGACCCTCTCTTGCTATTGTTGGAAGACTTTATGCTTCGCTCGACAATGACAAAAGGGTCCTCAATGGGGGCAAAACATTTACAAACAAGACTCTCTATGCTCGCATCTCCAAGCACGAAGAAGATATGCATGCCAACCTCATCTAGACAATGTGTGTTCCCACCAAGGTCAAGGTTTTCACAGCACTGGCGGAGCTTAGTTGGGGTTAAACTATGCCATAGCCTGCCCAGCTTACAGCATACTCCCTCCGTCCTTTAAAGATTGTACTTCCAACTTTCTTGAAAAGTCAAATTTTTTATATTTGACCATGTTTATATAATAATACATCAACATTTATGCCATCAAATTAGTAGCATTAGATTCATAATAAAATATACCTTCATCACATACCTATTTGATTTCACAAACATTGATATATTTTTGCACAAACTTGGTCAAACTTGAGATAGTTTGACCCTCCAACAAAGTTGGAAGTATACTCTTTATTGGAGTATGCATGAGTAAAAGTGTGGTTAGTGAGCAAAACAACGTCCATGTATGAGTGAATGCCTAATGTGGCCAGTCCTGGTTTTTTATTGTAGCTCCAACACTGTTCACATGGCTCCTGTTCTGACAGCGCCTCAACTGCAAGGCCAACCTCCACCGAGAAAATATCGCCGCCAACTCTTCTTGCCCTAGATGCAACCATGACAATGAAGACACCAACCACGGTTTCCTACAATACCATCTTTCACACATAATCTGGCAAAGACTTGGGCTTCCTAAGAGCATCTCCAGCCGTGTCCCCAACAGGCCCCTAGGCGACTTTTTACGCGCCGGCGTCGAAAAAATGCCTCAGTCGCGCCCCCAAGACGCTGAAATCCGCCGGCTCGGCCCGTTTTTGGGCCAGACGACCGCAGGCCAAACCCGGCGCACTAGGGGGCGCTCGAGGG